TTAATTAATTCACCCCCTCTAATTAATCCAGCCCACCCTTTAATTAATTCACCCCCCTTTAATTAATTCACCCCCCTCTAATTAATCCAGTCCACCCTTTAATTAATTCACCCCTCTTTAATTAATTCACCCCTCTTTAATTAATTCACCCCCCTCTAATTAATCCAGCCCACCCTTTAATTAATTCACCCCCCCTTTAATTAATTCACCCCCCACCCCCTTTAATTCAATTAATCCCAGACATAAAATATCTAGAGGTACTCACATTTCAAAGATTCCACTGGGAGCCTCACCGCCCGGAAATGGATCCTTCCGCTGAAGATCCGTGAAGGCAGACTGACGGCGCTGCAAAATGTCGTCATCACGTTGCGCGACGCTCCTCCTACAGCAGAAGAAGGAAGTCTCGCCGCAAAGGTACAATGCTTAGGTCTTATTTTCGGGGTAGGGCTTATATTGCAGCCCACCCCGAAAATCTGACTAGGGCTTATTTTCGGGGTAGGGTTTATTTTCGGGGAAACACGGTAATACCGGCAACACAAATGCAGATAATTTTCTCAGAATAAATGGAAATTACTCTGCAATACCAGCACCGGCCAGTAGGGGTCACTGTGTGTGGAGAGAGGCAGGGATAGGAAGTTACAGAATATCCCTGCCTCTCTCTACTACTCACTGATCCGGGGGGAGCAGCTACACAGCACAGAGAGTCCAGACAGCAGCTCTACAGCTCAGGTAAGTGAGGGATGGGGGGAAAGGCAGCAGGGATACATGGGGACACTGAGACACTAGGGGACACATGGGGACACTGAGACACTAGGTGACATATGGGGACACTGAGACACTAGAGGACACAGACACTAGGGGACACATGATGACACATAGACTAGGGGACACTGAGACACTAGGACACAGACACTGGGAGACCTGGGAACACTGAGACACTTGGGGACACTGGAAAATATGGGGACACTGAGACACTAGGGGACACTGAAACACTTGGGGACACAGACACTAGGGGACACATCTGGACACAGACACTAGGGGACACTGAGACACTAGGACACATGGGGACACAGACACCTGGAGACCTGGGGACACAGACACTTGGGGACACTGGAAAACATGGGGACACTGAGACACTAGGGGACACTGGGACACATGGGGATGCTGAGACACATGGGGACGCTGTGAGACATAGGGAAATTGGGAGACATTGGGACACGGAGACACTATGTCCCCCAGCCAGTGTCCCTAGTGTCTCAGTGTCCCCAAGTCTCCCAGTGTCTGTGTCCCATGTCTCTCAGTGTGCCAAGTGTCCCCATGTGTCCCAGTGTCCCCATGTCTATGTCCACAACTGTCCCCATGTCTCCCCAAGTGTCTGTCTCCCAGCCAGTGTCCCCTAGTCTCCCAGTATCCACTAGTCTCCCAGTGTCCCCTAGTCTCCCAGTCTCTGTGTCCCTAGTGTCTTAGTGTCCCCAGATGTTTCAGTATCTCCATGTCTCCCAGTGTCTGTGTTCCTAGTGTCTCAGTGTGCCTGGTGCCCCCATGTCTCCCAGTGTCCCTATATGTCCTAGTGTCCACATGTCTATGTCCACAACTGTCCCCATGTCTCCCAGTGTCCCCAAGTGTCTGTCTCCCAGCCAGTGTCCCCTAGTCTCCCAGTGTCTGTGTTCCCATGTCTATGTCCCCAAATGTTTCAGTGTCCCCATGTCTCCCAGTGTCTGTGTCCCTAGTGTCTCAGTGTCCCCATTTCTCCCAGTTTCCCTAAATGTCTCAGTGTCCCCATGTCTCCCAGTGTCCCCATGTCTCTGTGTCCCCGGGTCTCTCAGTGTCCCCATGTCTCTCAGTGTCCCCAGTATCTTAGTGACATGGGGACACACTGAGACATTGGGACACTGGGAGAAATGGGGACACAGACACTGGGAGACTAGGGGACTGGGCGACATGGGGACACTGTGATACATAGGGACACTGAGACACTAGGTGACTTGCGAGACTGAGACACTGGGAGACAGGGAGACACTGGGAGCAATCCATCTATACAGCAGAATCAAACTGTAAGTAGTTTGTTGGTGAGTTTACAGAATTTTCTCTGATGTCACTCCTTGTGATTTACATCATGTGATGTCACGCATAACTAATTAATTATACAAATGATTAAGGCTGGTATTTTTTTCCAAGAAAGGTGGCAACCTTAACTACTCTTCACATACTCTTGCTTAAAGGAGCACTATAGTGTCAGGAATACAATCATGTGTTTCTTACCCTATTATGTTAAAACCACCACCCTGGCCCCTTCTTGCCTCCCTAAATATAGTAAAATATTACTTGTATTCAATTCTGCAGCTGCTGGCTCAGAAGTGGTGGTCTGAGCAAATGACAATACTTCCCCACAGTATTGGCTGAGACTGTCAACTAGGCAGATCTGGGGCAGAGCCAGACCCTCAGCATCTCCTCATAAAGATAAATTGAATCAATGCATCTCTATGAGGAAAGTTCAGTGTCTGCATGCAGAGGGTGGAGACACTAAATGGCAGTGCTGCACACTAGGCAGTACTGCCCCAGGAAGCACCTCTAGCAGCCATCTAAGAAGCGGCCGGTGGAGTTATTTTCTCTGAAAAGACAGTGTTCACTGCAAAAAGCCTGAATGGAATGATTCTACTTACCAGAACAAATACAATAAGCTGTAGTTGTTCTGGTGACTATAGTGTCCCTTTAAGTTTGGAAGCTTAAGAGGGATGTATGGGAACAAAACTTGTGTGCACTGGTTGACATTAAAGTTAGTTTAGGTAATGCAGACGTTGGTCTCTCTAACACTGTGGCATGTCCCCTTTCTTCTACACTCACTGCAGACACCTTTTCTCTGTCTCAGACTATATACCAGGAATTTCTGCCTGCTAGTAAGAAGGTAAGGAGACAAGTGGACCAGCGAGTGCTAGGGGACAGTTCTTAGAAAAAATGGAGTGAGCGCATCATTAGACGCATTTATGTCAAGCTCAAGGTGCTGCCTGCATAGTATGCCCTTAGTTGGACAGCCTGCAGGATTGGCAGGCAGCCTGACATGCATTCATGCCAGGCTTACCTTCCAATTCTTTGGACAAATTCTTTGGGAATGTTCACCCCTTTTGGCAGGTTTTGTCACGTGATTCGCGCCAGTGGCACACCCTTTTACCCAGCCCATTGACTTCCTGCTTCACTGTACACCGCTGTTAGGGGTTATGGATTTACTTGAAGGATGAAAGCATAAATTAGAGAGAAATTAGCATGGAGTATGTGTTTTCTTATAGCTGCATCCTATGAGTTTCCCTCCAGCACCATCTCCATCAGATACATGACGCTTGGGAGGTATGATTGTTTTAGGTCGATAAGATTCCGTAATTAGGCCCATCATAATTGTCAGCATCAGGCCCACTGTGCTCTTAATCCGGCCCTGTATATAGCTAGCTATAGTATTTGGCGAATTCTTGGAAGATTTTGTCTGGGTTCATAATTTTGTCGCCTTGTGTCCTATGTATAAAAGCAATCTTTGCAGACAACGCCCGTTTTTTCAATTGAGAGACTAGAAGAGCTCCAGCCCTGTTGCCATATTCAGAGTAGTGCTGTTTAAATCTGCGTAACAGAAAATTGGTTTTGGCTAGTTCTGATTCTGATAGCTGGCGTTGTATATCTTTTTGCTCTAATGCTTGCTGCGGTGAAGGGGCCGATTTGTTTAAGGAGGATAGTTCTGCCAACCTTTTAGTAAGGTCTAAGTATGCTTTACGTCTCTGTGCTTTAGTGTAGCTAGCATGTTTAATTAAAGCCCCTCCTATGTAAGCCAACCATAGCGAGTCCGGCTTAGTGCTTGGCAACTTATTAGTGACAAAGTACAAGTGTAGTTCTTTACGGATATCTGCAAGTATTTGTGGGTTTGTGAGAAGGTGCTCATTCGTGCGCCAAGAGCCTCTGCCTTTATTGGGAAACTGTTCTCCCAGTTGCATCATGACCGGTGCATGGTACGACCACGAGATGAGGCCCACCCCAGTCTGCTGTACCTTCGTCACCATCGAGCTATGATGGTGAAATCAGTCTATCCGGAAATAAGAATTGTGAGTGAGAGAATGGAATGTATACTCCCTCCCCAAATATCTATGTATGCGTGAGTCAAAAGGATTTGATTCAGTTTTCATGTTGTGGAGCGCCTATGGAGTGTCGTGGTAAAAGCCACCTCCCCCGAGGATGCAACATCCATCTGATCATCTAGGATAAAATTAGTCACCTCCCATGATCACCTCCCCCAGTCTCCATTTATCTATTTTTTAAAATAAGTTTTCTAAGAAGGCTGACTGGTCAGTATGTGGACCATAAATATTAACTAGCGTGTACTGTGCATTATTGATATTGCATTGTATTATCAACTACCCTCCATTCTTATTGGCGTGTTTTGCCACCAAGGTAAAGGCTATATCTCTACTTATAAGGATTGAGACTCCCCTATTCTTTTTTGATAAACTATATACAGGTTTCCCCAAACTCCAGACATCCTCCTCAGAGTTGTCTGAGTAAGAACAAGGGAGAAAAAAAAAAATTACAGCGCGAGAAAGTCACACTGCAATGGCTCTGTGGTGAGCCTGGTGGAGGCGTGAACCATGTGAGAAGGGAGTGAGAGCAAAGGTCTCATGCACAGAGTCCTACCAACAATGTGAGTTTATTTTTTTTACTTTTATTTTTATTTATTTATTTTTCTTTCTTATAAAATTTATTTTTTTGTCATTTTTAATTTGCGTTTATTTTTTTGTTTTATTTTTTAAAAAATTTAAAGTTTGCTTGTATTATATTTTTGTTTTCTATAGTGTTCATTCCTCTGTGTTAGGAGGTTAGCTAATATGAAGAACAGCTCAGTGAGCAGAGATATATTATAGGTGATTTAAAAAGTATAGAGAAGTGAGAGGATAGAAGAGTAACTAGATAGAATGTAGAGATGATACTATCCGCGGCCAGCTTGCAGCCTAATAGTATGCACAGGGATGTTGTCCAAGAGCTCTGAAGCGGTGGCTCACTTTGCTGCTGTAACTTTCTGCCAGTCCCCTGTAATGCGGGTTGAGGCAGACTCCAGGCCCTTGACAGGCGAAGCATCTGCTTGTAGCGTAATGTTCCATTGCGATAACAATTTGTGTCCCTCTTCAGACATTGAGGCGACTTTGTCGGATCCATTCCTGTGGATGATGAGTCGGGTGGGAAATCCCCATATACAAGGGACCTGCATCTCTCTTAGCACCTTGGTGATGGTACCAAAGGACCGCCTCTTGGCTAGCATGGCTGGGGGACAGGCCCGCAAAGAGCTGTATGCCAGCGTACCTGCCTGTCATCTGCGCCGGGTCTCTGGTCGCCTGCATCAGCCGCTCTTTAGAAGCAAAAAAGTGGACATGGACAATAATATGTCTTGGTACCGCAGCAGGAGTGTCCCTATCCAACTCCAAATCTTGGGCCGAAGCATCAGACAGCAACGTTTGAAACAACTGGTGAAGGTATTCCTTCAAATCCGGCGCTTAACTTCCCCCTGGGATGCCACGCAGGCGGATGTTATTCCTGCGGGCCCTATCCTCCAGGTTGGTGAGTGTTATGAGCCTCTATGATCTCTTCCGTTTTGTCTTCTAAGTGAGCAGTCTGCTCACATATGGCTTGTACATCCCATCTGATATCTGCAGCCAATTTCTGGAAGTCAGACCTGATGGTGGTCTTTAAATCATCCAACAGCTTATGTAGGGTGTTATCCAAAGTCGGCAGTGCTGTAGCCTGTGAGATCGAGGTCATGTCACTGCGGCTTGACTTACTGAGTTCCGACTCTGTGATAGGAGATAGTGCTTCCTCAGTGCCATCGTGGGTGCGCTTGCTAAGGCTGAGACCTGGAGCAAGGGGGTTTTGTGTTTGGTTTTCCATACTGACTTGCTCACCATCTCCGCTGGAGATCAAGGTATTGTGGTAAGTGGCAGAAAATTTCACCGATTGCATGGATTCAAGCTGTTTTTAGCCGTTGCCGGCGGAGCTCTCATCTTATGCGTCCGTCTACATTCAAGTCCTGGCCACGCCCAACGTCTCATCTTTTCTACAACATCCAGAAGGATTTTATTTGCTTTTATTTCCATTTATTTTTATTTGACGTTTAGTGTTTTTATCACTGCAATAAATATTTGTATTTTTTACCTGATGCTGCCGACATCCTCTTTTCCGTGATCCAGAACAGAACCCCCACATTCAACCTATCCCCAGATGGCTTGGATCTGAGCGCTCAATATATCCAAACAGCGCTCAGATCCCACAAACACAGTCAAATCGCCATGGAGTTTAAGTGTAGCATGGGCTGATGAGTGAGGCAGGAGGCTGGTAATCAGGCTTCTCCATAACCCAGTGGCGAGGTTAGTTTCGCCACACTCCCTGGATTGGTCAGTGCTATTGGTGATTTGCGGTTTGTAAATATCCTGACTGCAGACCAAGAGTGATCCTCATCCGCTTCTTAGTTGCACTTCATGTCTACTTTCATTACCCAATAACAGTGGAGATCCTACCTTGGCTGTATCCATGCTTTTATAATAACCCTGATAGTCCTTAGGTCAATAACAACCGCTGGATAAATAATTACTGCCATACCTCTGATATGTGTCGGTGTCATCCTGTTATTTTCGGAACGTGTCTACCTGTCAGTGTTTTTGTGTGGCATTCTTTGGTATAGACTTCAAACTGGCTTAAAGATTAATTGAAGACCGTAATTAATTGAAAGATTTGATGAAAAAAAATTAAACAAAAATAAAAACAGTGGTAGGTGGAACTATCTCATAGTTCTATTTTGGAACCCCTTATTTTTAATGTCTTTATTAAATATCTAAAACAATTATCCTTATCGTGGGTTTATAATAGATATTATTACTGATCTTATCAATGTTTGCAGATTACAAAACTAAATAAAATAATAACATTTGATCTGAAAAGGGTAGGCAGGTCAGGTATGTGGCAGATGAGATTTATTGTAGATATATACAAAGTTATGCATGTAATTAGGAGGAAAAAAAAGTGCACAGTTTTTTAAATTAAAAAATAGCTTGAATCATTTTGCTCTACAAATATTAATTGATGAGCATAATGATGCACAAAATATAGATGCACATTATATTTTATTACCGTATTCAATAATTAATAACTACCTCTTCCCTACAGGTATCACTGCATTCCCATAACTCCATAAGCAATGAAAAAAAATATTCTAGAGTATAAGGTATAGATATTGCATATATAACCTATATATGCTTCCCGATGACAATTATTTATATAGCACCAACATATTCAACAACGCTGTACAATAGGTAACAGAATACAAACAATTCTAACAAACATGTTTGACATATGGGAATAATAGGTGAAGAGGGTCCTGTGCAAACAAGCTTACAATTTATTTATTTAGAGCAGCTATAGTTGTTAAAAGAAGGTGAGTTTTTACCAGCCTCCCAAGCAGCCCAACAACTCTCCTCTCTAACAACTCAGTATAAATATAATAAGAAATAATCAGCAGGTGTCATGTATTTCATCAGATTCAGAACCAATTGCTCTATGTAACAAGAGAGACATCTAGTTATTCTGAATTACTATGGATTGTGGCCATTAGAGAAACCAACTAAAAAAATCATTCTCAGCTCTATTTACTATACATATGCATTAATTCTATTTTGTGGTGAAGGTTGTGTTTGGAGTCAGCACTAACACTGTAACTATATATATATCTTTTCAATACATGATTTTAAATAATATTATAAATAAGTTACTTTGAGAAAGAAGCCCCAACTACACTATGAAAGAGGACTGTTGGATACATGTCAGAACTTCAAATATGGTGCCCCTGATCAACACATTCTTGTGACGGACTGCCTGGCACCCCTACCGGGTACCTCTGTCAATCGTTGCTTCCTAGTACTTGTGAGTACCATAAGCACTGCACTGGAACACCATAACCTCCGTAAACCCCACGCACCACCGCAGCTTGGTTGGGGTCTTGCCGTTCTCCACCCACCCTGGACCCAGGACCAAGTTCCAGCTTCAAGTGGGTAGACCTCTCGTAGTCCAGAGAGTGTAGCAGGAATAGCTCTTATAAGAGCTAGTGATTATACTCAGGGGAGTATAGTGATTATAGCAATCCCCAGAGTGAATGTAGTTCTCCAATCCCTCAAACATGAGTCAAGACTTCATGAAGGGATAAACAAATCTCTCTTTAATGGGAGCCACACTGAACTTTTATGCAAGTCCCCAAGCAAGATCTACACCCACATGGACCTTGTTGGGGACAGGGACACAAACTTGCAAACCAATAATAACACATTTATAATGTAAGGCACTCCCACACATAGCACACAATCCCTTCCTGCTTGGGAGATAATTGGATCAGTAACTGTACTAATTCTAATCCAAATATCTCCAAGCACAGAAAAAACATACTTTTTAAAAACACCCCAAAAGTACCTTAAAAATACATAAACCCCCACATCCCCTGATAGCCCTGATCTGGGTGACCAACATATCCAGAAATCCAAAAATATCCAAAAATCACCCAGATCAGTTCAGGGGTTCAGGAGTTTCCTGGAAGTCTTATTTTTGACCGACTGTACATATGGTCCCATGCCCAAAACAGTTCCAGAAAATTAGTGCTAACGGTCGGTCTCTCTGTCTGGAGTACAAAAGTACATACTTCACATGAACAGAGCCTTTTAAAAAGTAATTTAGCCAGGTCTATTGCAGGGGCCATAGTCACAGGATAAGAGGCTGGCCAGCAGGCTCCTCCAAGAACCAGTGATGAGGTTCAGTTTGTCACAATTCTACTTGCCCTAGATAGGCAGAGAGTGCTTAACAATATGAAGTAAATTCTAATGTATTGTTTGTTAATTATCAACACGTTAGTGGCTGCTAATGAGCTGTTAACAACAGTAAATCAATCACAATTTCACTATTCCAAGACTTTTCCACAACACTTTTAAACTTATTGATTTGGAGAAAAATTATCCTTTTTAAACAGTCAAACATAAGCAATTCCAATTCTTCCAATGAAGAGTTATCTACAATTATCGGATGTATCGAACATTTAGCAAATTCACCACATTAAAAAGTACTTGAAAAGAAAATGTTATTTATTGGATACACTGGATTTATTGGAGACACTGGATTTTAATTTACCCTCTTAATTAATTAATTAATTACATAATGAGGCCCTACTGATTTAAAAAAAAAAAAAAAAGAATTGGCTGTCAGTAAACGTGACTTGCACAGCACAATAGGCTTAGTAGAGAGTTGTTGCTAAGTTGAATAACAACGATGATCACAGTTTGTGGCTTTGATGTCTTATAAATGTATACATATGCAGCAACTGAATACTGAAACTTCAATTATTTGCCTTTATGTGCACTTCTGTGATATACCATGACCAGGATTAAACTGATGCTAGAACAATATCAGAAAAAAACAAACATCTTTATGCACTGAATACAAATGCATGTGAAATGTGCTGTAAATGTGTGTTTCATTATCATCACACATTCTTGTAATGGGGCCTTATCATTACCATGCAGACAATCGGTTTACTGCAGAATAAAGCCTCAGAATTAAGTACTGCAGACAGCATGTCCCACAGGAGTCCAGAACAGAAGTCAGAACTGTATGAGATTTTAACATCTCTCCTCTCTGTGTTCAGAAACCCGGAAAAAAAATTCTAATCCACGTGGTGTACAAACTGACTTTACTGCAAATTCTTATCAACCTCTAGTGAATAAGTTACACAATGTTACATAAACTATTTTTATCTATCAATGAAAAAAAAAAAAGTGCTACAATTATGTTGAGCAAAGAAAGGGAGGGATAATAAATCTTTGGGCAGAAGCAATTGAATAAAATATTTAACAATGAGCCTCACTTCCTGAGCAATTTGTAGTTTAAACATTTAGGAAAGTAAGCATTAGAGTCTTACAGAATGTTTATCTCTCTCCTTTCCCGCCAGCTGCCATCTACAAGAATTAACAGAAATGTGAATATGTGTGTGTATATGTGTATATATATATATATATATATATATATATATATATATATTCCCAGGTTTGGGAGGATGGGGCAACACGATCATTCACCTTTGGTTAGTAACTCATTTATATTTTCTTATATATTTGTGCATATCACTGTATTGTATTAATCTTGATAAAGACCCAGTAGGTTCGAAATCAGAGGCATTACTAGAAACCACGGGGTTTCAAAATTGCCCTGGGCCCTCCCACCCCCCATAAGTCTACCCCCACCCACAATACGGCTACCCCCGAGACATCTCATAACCCCCCCACACATGCAGACAAACAGATACACATACAGACAGACACACACGTACATACAAACACACATACACACACATATACACAAACATACATACAAACATACACACACATACATACAGAGAAACATACAGACAAACACACACACACACGCACATGCATACAAACACACACACATACACTAACACACACATTTGCAAAATATTTTAGTCACCTTCCTGTTTCCTACTTTTCAGGTGCAGGAGGGTAACTTTCCCTGGGGTCCAGTAGCTCAGGCTGATTGCTGGGAGGAAGTGATCGGGGCTGTCATTTCCTCTCAGCATCTGACATCACGAAAGGGGGCCCGGTTGCACTGTTAAAGCGCCTCAGCACTCACCGGGTGGTTATACCACGCGGTCTGTGTTACATAGCCGGCGGACACCCTGGTGCCCGGGCCCCCTAGAGTGGTAGTTCCGCCACTGGTTGAAACGTTGATTTCAATTATACACTTTTGAAAAAGTCCTTTGGAGTGCTCTTTGGCTTACTTTATATATATATTAATATATATATATATATATATATATATATAGTGATCAAACACATCATAAAAAACTAATACCGTGTAGGTCCCCCCCCCCCCCAGCTCTGATGCATTGAGGGATGGGCTCCACAAGACCTCTCAATGTGTCCTGTGGTATCTGGCACCAAGACATTAGCAGGAGATTTAAGTCCTGTAAGTTGCGAGGTGAGGCCTCAATGTATAATATTTGTTGTTCCAGCACATCCCACAGATGATCAATCGGATTGAGATGTAAGAAATTTGGAGGTCAAGGCATCACCTTTTTCTCTTTCTTTTGTTCCTCAGACCATTCCTGAACAATTATTGCAGTATAGCAATGGGCATTGTCCTGCTGAAAAAGGCCTCTGCAGAAATGCCATTGCCATAAAATGATGTACGTGGTCTGCAACAATCTCTAGGTAGGTGGTATGTGTCAATGTAACATCCCCATAAATGCAAGGACCAAAGATTTCCCAGCGGAACACTGCCTCCATAGGCCTGCCTTCTTCTCATTGTGCATCTTGTTGCCATCTCTTCCCCAGGAAAATAACACACACGCACCCACCCAACCAACTAATCTAAAGGAAAATGTGATTCATCAGACCAGGCTCACGTCTGCATTGAAGCTGCTTTTGGTGGTTGACAGGGGTCATCATGGGCACTCTGATTGTTCTTCGATTTTGCAGCCCCCTACACACAAACTGCGATGCATTTTGTGTTCTGACACCTTTCTGTTATGTACAGCATGACCGTTTTCAGCAGTTTTGAAAATGGTCTAGCCTTTGCTCATAACATGGATCAATGAGTCCTGGGCACCCATAACCCGGTTCACCAGTTTTCCTTGCTTGCACCACCTTTGGTAGGTACTAACCATTGCATTCCGGAAACAACCTCAAGAATTGACGTTTTAGAGATTCCCTGACCCAGCAGTCTAGCCATCAGTATTCAGCCCTTGTCGCAGTCATTCAAATCTTTTTGCTTGCTCATTTTTACTGCTTCTAAGACAATTCCAGAACTGACTGTTCACTTGCTGCCTCAAATATCCCCACCCCCCATGACAGGTGCCAATGATATAATCAATGTTATTCACTTCACCTGTGAGTGGTTTTCATGTTGTGGGTGATATAGATATGTAAACAATACAAATGATGAACCACATCTAAGAAAGTTTTAACCCTTTCATTGTGATTATACACACAAGAATATATATACATACATATATCAGGGGGGGAGGGGGGGGGGCTTCTTTAACCCCTTAACTATCGCTGATGGTTCAGGACCATCATCTGAAAAATCCCCTTGAGGACCGGTGATGGCCCTGAACCGTCATAACGGTTTTATGTACTTACCAGATCGCTGCCGTTACCCCGGCGGTGATCGGCGTTGCTCCCGGTGTGGGGAGACTGTCTGACAGCCCAGGCAGTCTCCCCTCAGCGAATTAGGACCCCGCGGCCATGTGATCGCACTAATAGAGCAGTCACATGGCCGCAATAGGTGTCCAAGTGTCTGCCTGCAGGGGGACTGCCTGTGCTGACAGGCAGTCTCTGTGTTTGCGTGTAAAAAAAAAAAGTTAATAAATAAAAATATAATTAGATACAGTGCCTTGCAAAAGTATTCACCCCCCTTGAACTTTTACCTATTTTGTTACATTACAGCCTTAAATTCAATGTTTTATTAATCTGAATTTTATGTGATGGATCAGAACACAATAGTCTAAGTTGGTGAAGTGAAATGAGAAAAATATATACATAAAACTATTTTTTAGAAATAGAAAAGAGAAAATTGGCATAGGCGTATGTATTCACCCCCTTTGTTATGCAACCAATTACCTTCAGAAATCATAATCCGTGAAATGATGTCCACCTGTGTGCAATCTAAGTGTCACATGATTTGTCATTACATATACACACCTTTTTTGAAAGGCCCCAGAGGCTGCAACACCTAAGCTAGAGGCACCACTAACCAAACACTGCCATGAAGACCTGTATGTGTATTTGTATGTGTGTGTCTGTATATATGTGTGTGTGTTTGTATGTATGTTTTTGTATGTTAAATTGGGCTTCTCCCCCTCCTTCCTTCCTTTTTACCTGTGTGCTGGAAGTGGGGGGCGGTGGGTAGGAGGACGACAGTCTAAGGGGGGCAGTGTGTAGGAAGGTGACAGTGTGGGGGGGGCACGATGTGAGGGTGACAGTAGTGGATGGCAGGATGTGATGGTGACAGTGTGGGGGGCAGGCTGTGAAGGTGACAGTGGTGGAAGGCAGGATGTGAGGGTGACAGTGACGATGGACAGGATGTGAGAGTGACGGTGACAGTGTGGTAGGCAGATGTGCGGGTGACAGTGTGTGGTTGGGGTGACAGTATGGGGGGCAGGATCTCAAGGTTAAAGTGATCGGTGGCAGGATGTGAGGGTGACAGTGGTGGTGGGCAGGTTGTGAGGGTAACAGTGTGGGGGGCAGGATGTGAAGGTGACAGTGGTGGAAGGCAGGGTGTGAGGGTGACAGTGATGATGGGCAGGATGTTAGAGTGATGGTGAGAGTGTGGTAGGCAGAATGTGAGGGTGACAGTGATGGGGCAGGATGTAAGAGTGACAGTGTGGGGGTGATGTGGTGAGTGGCAGGATGTTTGGGTGACAGTTACAGTGTGGGGGTGACAGTGGTGGGTGGCAGGATGTGGGGGTGCCAGTAGTGTGGGGCAGGCTGTGGGTGTTACAGTGATGTGGGCAGGCTGTGAGGGTGACAGTGTAAGGAGGCTTTGACCAGCCTCCCCACACACACATACCATTTTTTGTGCTCCATTCCCTGGTGGTCTGGAGACCACATGATCATTCACCATCGGGTGTGAGCTGCAGACCACATGATTATTCATGCTCCGGTCCAAGCGTTGCTGTGATACCCCACAGCAATGTATTGGGAGCTTTTGAGACCTCAGAGTATGCGGCTCACACTCGACGTAGCTCTAGACTGGAAGCTCTCTCTTCCACCGCAGACTGATGGAGGGGCCCCACACCCAGCGGTATACAGGGCAAGCAACCTGGCCCCCTCCTGGTGTTGGACCCGATGGATCAGTCTGCACTAAGCCCTGCCTAGCCTACACTACATGTAACCCCTACATTACATATAATCCCTACATTACCCTCAATTAGTACAGATCCTGTCCACCTTCTTTGTTTGCGTGTCTCCTCTGACCTCCATGGCTTGCAGCTTTCAGCTGCCATGGTGGTCTCATACGTTGAGGTCAGCAGTGAGTTGGCAGCCTATGACCTCCTTATTACTTTACAGCAATTTACAGTCCCTGACCTTTTCTGTAGTTAGTGGCTCCTGGCTGCAAACTAAGCTTTGCAGCTCTGGCCTTCCATTGCAAGTTTGTTGCTCCCAATTGCAATTGCACAATCATGGCTCATTGGGTGTTATCACCTCTGGGAAGGTAGTATAAGCTGATATCCTTGCAGATCACTTTAAAAAATATTACTTAATGGTCTTTCAGATGGGTACTTGTAGTTATTTTTAAATCACATAGGTCAGATTGCCATTGCTGTAACCCACCCTTTGGTTCCCACTTTACTTTCCAGACAATTACAGAATATGGTCTAATGTACTCCGCTTGATCAAAACTGTTTTGTATGTTAAACCAGGAATTTTATCACATGACAGGAGGCTTCATATTTTGCGTAACTTTCTTTACTTTATGCCTCCAGCAGCACAAGTCAAGCAAACAAAAACTTTAAACCAATCAGTAACAGGTATCACATCCATATATAAAGCCCTGACAGACACATGACTTCCTCTTTCTTTGCTGCTACCAGCCAAGGCACAGGTCAGAGTATTTGCTCTAAACAATTTCTCATTTATATTGCATTTGTCATTTATTTGAACATTTAATGGTGTGGTATTTATCCCCTGTACCCTTCCC